GCAATTCAATATGCCAATATTATGCTGTTGTCATCAATGATCGTTACATTTTTAATGCTAAACATAAAAAAAAAAATCAGTGGGAGACTTTCAAACTTTAATCATAACATTTATTTTTTTTAAAGTACCATAAAATACAGAAGGCACAAAAAAAGGCTGAAATGATTTACAAAAGGCTTGAATGGAGGGCTGTTCGAGTTGAATTAATTGATGAAAACTGTGGAGAAGAAGAAAAACAGGAGGACGAGGAACATCAATACAAGCGCCGCAATCAGCAGGCCATTTCTCAGTTTCTCAAAGATGCATCTGTGAGCGAATCTCTCTCAAAATCAATGTTAAACGCCCCTTACAGACGCAACCTGCACATTGATTGCATGAAATAAACAGACGAAAATCAGCATTGTCTTCTTTCATCAGCATTCCTCATAACATCACTCGTTACCGGGAGAAACCAAGAGAAATACTCAATTCAAGTACATAGAGTACCATACAATTGCTTCATTGAATAATAATTAGAAATGTGAGCAAAGTGCAAGTACAAATGGCATTTCCAATCTGCCTATGAACTCTGAAGGCAAGCAAAAATAAGATTATACAGATCCAAACCCTCAGGAGTAAAGCAAATTCCACACAAAAGTGTCTTTTCTGCACAGATTACAAGATGTTTGACTTTCCTTCCCACTAAAAACACCATGGAAACACACACTAACCTTGGAGCAAAAGTTACTTAGTATCCTAAAGAAACATTGGGAAGAAAGAGACTGGGAGTCGACAGATTAAAGATCCTCCAGAAGTGGGTTGTTTATTTTAGCCACAGTTGATCTGTGTGAAGCGTTCATTTGTGAAGAACAGAACGCAGAGTTACTAATGAGTTAGTGAAGGGTGTATGAGAGACAACAGACACACTCGGATATCAAAAGCGGCTGCTGGTGGGCAGATATAGACGATCAGAGTACAGCTCATCCATACAGCTCCACAAATCATCCACGGCAAAACATGAGACTCACACTAAATGGATTGGAACAAAGCGTTCGTGTGTGTGACGAAATGAAGCAAGAGCAATTCAGAGCTATCGGAGTATGCAACATACTGTATATATTTTCAATATTAATTACCAGAAAAGCATGCTATCATATAAAAAAACATATAGGGTATTTTCAGGACATATAAAAAACGATATATGTTCTAATATAAAATATTAAAATATTTTATCCCAAATATAACTTGGGATTTTCAATATTTTCAATACTAATTAGTGAAAAGCATGCTATACAGAAAATAATAGAATATAATCTAATATAACATAGGAAAATATTTTATCCCAAATTTAAATTTATAATAATATATTTATAATAGTATATTTCTATTACACACACATATTTTATATATATATATATATATCACATATATTATATATATATATATATATATATATATATATATATATTGTGTGTATATATATATATATATATATATATATATATATATATCATTAAATTTATTTATTGAATAATAATACATTTTATAGAGACTTAATGCTGTATTTGACTCAAATATGAATGCATGAAATATGAATAATGTTATCAAATATGGATAATATTAATATTTATTTTTACATAAGTTGTCTAAGTTACCACTATTTAATATTATATAATTTTTAAAGGTGCCATAGAATGGAAAACTGTATTTACCTTGGCATAGTTGAATAATAAGAGTTCTGTACATGGAAATGACATACCGTGAGCCTCAAACACCATTGTTTCCTCCTTCTTATGTAAATCTCGTGCATGCAAAAGATCACTGAAAAATAGGCGAATCAGAACATAACACCGACTGTGACGTTACAGTCGGGATCACTAATAGTTACGCCCCCAACATTTGCATATACCCGCCCATGTTCTATGCCAGCCGCCAGCCGAACCTGCACCGCCGAATCATCGATGCAGTGTTGCCAGATATTGCTATTAAAACAAACAAAAACGATAAACAAATAAAAATAAACCGAAATTATTTCAAATCTTTTGCAATTAAGATAAGATAAAGATATTGTTGACCCTAAACTGCAACGTCTTTCTTTATTAACTTTCTAAAGTGTCAAAAAAGTGGATAAAGTCCAAAAACGCTTATAACAGACGGATCTGGCAACACAGAGGCTGCGTCCGCGCCCTCACTCGCAACTCTCTCTCAAGCCTCGTTCACTCCGCCAGCGTCTCACAGCGATCGTGTTCATACCACGGACGCTAAACATTATTGCAAAATCTCTCAAAATCTGTATCTTCATCTGATACAGGCTCAAACATATAAGGTTGGATGCCTAATCTCTCCAACGTTCACGCCGGACAGTAGAGATCTGTTTGCTGTGTGAGCCACTGAAATGAGCCGCGCTGTGAAACAGCCAATCAGAGCAGAGCTCAA